TTTTTTTTTTATTTTTCAAATGTCATTTTAGATGTATTTATGCATTTTCTTGTTTTATCCTTATCATAAATCTAAAAAATATCATCATTGTTCCCATTGAAAAAATCAAATCTAAATGTGTGCTTTGTATTGACACATGTTCAGATTTGATTTTGATTATTAGGCTTGAGAATTACCATAAATTATTTTACCTTTATTTTTTTTAAGTTACCATATATTACTTTTACATTTTTTTATTTAATCCATATATTAATTATTATAAATATATATTCTTCTTATTTTACAAACTTTATAGTTTTTATTTGCATTTTATTTTTTATATATGATCTACCCGAATGATCATATTTTAATGATCTTCGATTTAACATCTATATTACATATATAAAATAAAAAATAATTTCATCTATATTTATAAATAAAATTAATTTTATTATTCACTCAATTTAAAAAACATCAAATAACAATATAAATTATTTTTCCAAAATAATAAAAATATAATTCATTAATACACTATAAAATAATCATTTTATTGTATTTTTTCATAAATTTTGGATGAAAATAAAAATTAAGTATTTACATATATTAACTTCTAAGAAATATTATATTATTTCTCAATTTAAATAGATTATATAATAAATTGAATGTTAATATGTTATATAAAATAGTAAATATAAATCATTGTCATAAATATAATTAAATCGCCCATATATATTATTTCCGAATGCGCTGAGCTGAAGTGGAAATCACGTGTATTTCGTAAGCTTATTTGGCATAAATTTGTGCTTCGTATTGACGCATGTTCAGGTTTGGTTTGATTATTAGGCTTTTTTTCCAAAACGATAGATTGATTATTAGGCTTGAAATTACAATAAACTATTTTAGCTTTCATTTTTCCTTAATTTACCATATACTACTCTTACTTTTTTTATTTTATTTTATTCATATATTAATTATTATAAATATGTATTCTTTTTATTTTTAAAACTTTATAACTTCTCTATTTGTATTTTATTTTTTATATATGATTTACCAAAATAATCATATGTTAACAATTTTCGATTTGACATCCATATTGCATATATAAAATAAAACCTATTTTCATCTATATTTACAAATAAAATTAATTTTATCATCAACTCAACTAAATAAAATCAAATAACAATATAAATTATTTTATAATAATAATAAACATATAATTCATTAATACACTATTATATAATCATTATATTGTATTTTTCCAAAAAAATGGATAAAAATGTAAATTAAGTATTGCATAAGAAATATTTCTCTATTTAAATAGATTATATAAAAACTGAATGTTAATATGTTATTTAAAATAGTAAATATAATAAAATAATCATATTTTAACGATATTCGATTTGACATACACTACGTACATAACATAAAAACTAACTTCATCTATATTTACAAATAAAATTAATTTTATTATCAACTCAATTCAGAAAACATCAAATAATAATATAAATTATTTTATAATAATAATAAACATATAATTCATTAATACACTATAAAATAATCATTTTATTGTATTTTCCATAAATTTTGGATAAAAATGAAAACTAAATATATTTTCACAATTTAATAAGATTATATAAAAAATTGAATGTTATTATGTTATTTAAAATAATAAATATAAAAGAATATAACAATTAAATATAATATATAGTTTTATATTTCATTAATTTAGAAAATACTATATTTCTACGTAAATTCTAAATTATTAAATATATGAATTTAAAATACTTGACAAATTAATAAACGTTAGACATTGATCATATAAATATAAAATAGAATCACAATAAAATACAATTTGTATTGTTTTAGAAAAAAACATATCAAATATATGGAGTTGTAAAAATATAGTTTTATATATATATATATTTAAGAAAAATGATTAAAAAATATCTTTTTTTTTTCGGAAAATTTAGCATAGAAATACGGGCACCATTTAAATTAATTATTACTTATTTATTTATTTATTATTTTTTCATATTCATCATACATAATTTTACAATAAAAAATAAATTATTTTTATATTATACAAATATTTATATATTTAAGTACCCGTTTAGTACACGAGTATTGTACTAGTAATATTATATTTCATAAATTTAGAAAATAATACAATTTCTACGTAAATTCTAAATTATTAATTATATGAATTTAAAATACTAGAAATTTAATAAACCTAAGACATCGACTCTATAAATATAAAATATAATCATGATACAATAATATTTGTTTTGTTTTAGAAAGAAAAAGGAATCAAATATATAAAGTTGTAAATAATATTAGCTTTATACATATATATTTTTAAAAATATAATAAAAAAATATCTTTTTTGACAAATTTATACAGGCACCATTTGAATTAATTATCACTTTGTTAATTATTTATTATTTTTGCATATTCTACATGCATTTTTTTCACAATAAGAAATATAAATTATTTTAACATTTATTGTACAAATATTATATTAATATATTAAATAAATGTCGATTTTTCTATGGAGCCATCGAATGGCTCGGCTAATGGAGCCATCCATAGTTATTTACAAATAGTGTATTGACACGTGTCCTGTAATAAATGTACTTTGGATATGTGTCGATATATTTAGTAATGGATGACTCCATAAGAACAAATTTTTGTAAATAAAGGTATAGTAGACGAGTATTGTACCGGTAAACAATGTTATTTGCTTAATCACCCTGCCTTAACGTGCGCCGCTTACTGGTAAACATGCGCACCTTTTGTTAGTTTTCGATTGGACGATCTAAAAAACATTTTTTTTTTTTTTTTACTGCCAAGATTTTTCCCCTTTTCCTTTCACTGTTCACGTATATATATACGTGCACTTGCTTGAAAAAAATAACCAAAAAAAAAAAAAACAAATATTGCACAATCTGCCCTTTTTTTGCATCTCGCCGGCGCTCGCGAAGCCCTAATTCTCTTTCCATCTCGCCGTTCACAAGCTCTCTAAATTGTCGAATTAAATCCTTCACCCACATCGATTTGATAGCCACCTTCATTGCCGGGATGAACTTCTGGTAGAAATCGAAGAGGTGAGCATTTGTATTCTCGATTTATTGACTGTTCATAGCGATTCTGTTGTTGAAGTTCCGATTTCAAAAGGAATTCCGTTTTATCGTGTTCTGAATTTTGATTGATTACTGTTTTTAGCTAGTTTTGTTTGAGCTACGTGTATTATATATGTTCGCGACGCTGAATCTGTGTAATTGTGGATTTAGCTCGAATGACGGAAGTTTTTAATCAGCGTGGTGTGCGTATTTCCAGTTGCCTTTGTGAATTCAAGGTTGCCTATCTGTTGTGTGATGGGTTATATTCACCAATTGTCTTCTAATCATTTCTTGGTCTTAGATCTTTGCAAAAGGGATCAGCTAAACTAGTTAAAAATTTGATCTTTTCCGAATGCAAGAGATGAATAATTAAGAATATGTGTGGTTTACTTTATCGAGTTAGCTTCAGAAGGAGCTGGTTGAGGTCTCTTTCTAATTGATTTTTGAAAGATGAAGCTAATAGAAGCGAAGCTGTATGTTTTTTTATTTGTTCTTTCCTTAAGGTTCCAATTGTTGCCGACTCCTGATCGACCTCCTACATTACGTATTCAAAATATTTTTGGTAGGATATAGTGTGGCCGTAGATTCGTGGTTGCTTGAGATCTGCAATTTGTAGTCAAGTCATACAAGCATTTCTATGATAAGGTAAGACTCTAGTAGATGGCTGCTGGATCCACTAAAGCATATTTGCATATGTTGAGAACTTAGCTTGTTGTTTTCTCGAAATCTTAGTTAGTGCCAATGTTTAAATTGTCATGTTTTGAATTTCAAACAGTTCAATACTTGGCAGTTTTACCGTTTATATATTATTTTGTTTATCCAATGACTAGATGTATTAATATTCTTATCACGGTTGATTATATGTATTTAAACATGCATCGGGTTCTTAACAAAAGACAACTCTCTGAGATCTTTTTATGACTGTGGAATGGACACAATAAAAGTCTTCTGTTACACAGAAGGCAAGATTACCTGTTATTGTTCATGATCTTCAAGACGATTGTTTGTTGTCATGTCTTTGAATTTATTTGCCTAAAATAAACTTCGTATCTTGCCATACACCTAATTCTTGTTGTTTTCATTTGTATGATTGCTGTTTTGATCTGTTGAAGATTGCTTTGTTCTGAAAAATGTGAGGCAATATAAGGCAACTTAATATTTAAATGTTGATAAATAATTTATGTATGAAGTTGATCTGCTGCTAAATTGCCAACTTGTGTGGAAGCTACATATTCTTGTATATGGAATATCTCTTGTGCTTTGAATCTAATTGGAAACTATCTTTGTTAGTTATATAATTAATGGTTTTGTACTGAAGACAATCGTGTCTTTTAATCTATGCACCTAAATAGTCTTTTTTGTGAACATCAAAAGTTTTTGCTTCATAACTAAATGTATATATGTCACTGCTTTCCATGTAAGGTTTGATTGCTTGCTGTCTTAGAAGCAAATGAACTTGCACCTGTGCATTATATGGTATAATGATTACAATCCACAGGTCTAGTTTAGTTTGCATAATAGAGTTCCAAAGTTATACCAACCGTTACTCTTTATTGCAGTTGCTGGCAGCCTTTAGGCGAATCCTTCCTGGCACATGATTTGCTTCTGCATGTACGGGCAAACTTGACGGTCATCTCACATATGAAATTCAACCTGCATTACTTTTCGTAATTAGGATAGTTTTAGTACTTCTTTTCAGACAATGGACCGGTGTGATACCTCTGGATTCGTAAGCGGGGGTGGGATGTACCCTTTCCGAGACATCTAACCATAGGTTTGTAGATAATTTATATAAACCCGGAAGACAGGCAGACTGTCCTTTACCTAGTTTCGGTTTGAATAAGAGTGTTAAACCTTAGGTTCTTGGGCATGGATGCCAGATTTCACAACTTGGGATTTGCCACTAACCCACAGCCAAACGCATTCAAGAATTTGTGCAATTCCATACAAACAGGAGGAAGTGAAGCGGATGTCATGTACTGTGCCGACACAACCCTACGGCTAGATTCGCCTGGTTTCCCAAGCCCTTTCACCCCCGCCCCAAAGGGAGTCAAACGCAAGTGGGGCGCCGCAGGTGGCCCTTCGAACCATCTTTTTGAGTCCTCACTGAATCTCCGCCTTGGTCACTCCTCAAGTTCCTCTGAAAGCAAGGGCAGCACGGGAACCGCGTGCACCTCGATGTCCAAGGAAACTGAGGAGGAGTCATCTATGGACATTGAGCTGGACTTCTCTCTCCACCTCGGTGGTGATAACAAGTCATCTGTTCTGGAGAAGTCTACCAGCTGGGATTTAAAATCGCCTGATGCGTCTCCTGTGGTTGATCTGCAATTGTGCCTCTCGAGCGGGCCCGCCATTTCCGATATCACGCTCCTCCACCCGAGTCCAAGCACTCCGAGCATCATCACGAACACGCACACAGGCTTTGGGAAAACAAGCCAGATATCAGCGGGCCGCTCATCGAGTGTAGTAACAACACCGAATAGCTCAGTCACCTGTTCTTCCGGGATACTAACTACTCAGTCACGGCAGGCGCGTAGCACTAGCACCAAACAATGTCAGTACCAGGGTTGTTCCAAGGGGGCGAGAGGGGCGTCTGGCTTCTGCATCGCCCACGGTGGGGGTCGCAGGTGCCAGCGGCCTGACTGCGGCAAGGGGGCCGAGGGCCGGACAGCCTTCTGCAAGGCCCACGGCGGTGGCCGGCGGTGCGAGTTCCTGGGGTGCACCAAAAGCGCGGAGGGGCGCACTGACTTCTGCATCGCCCACGGTGGGGGGCGGCGGTGCAGCCACGAGGGGTGCACTAAGGCCGCCCGGGGGAAGTCTGGGCTTTGCATCCGCCACGGCGGCGGCAAGCGGTGCAGGATGGAGGGCTGCACGAGGAGCGCCGAGGGCCTGTCTGGCCTCTGCATCTCCCACGGTGGGGGCCGCCGGTGTCAGCACCCTGGTTGCGGGAAAGGGGCCCAGGGGAGCACTATGTTCTGCAAGGCCCACGGTGGTGGGAAGAGGTGCTCTTATCCGGACTGCAAAAAGGGCGCGGAGGGAAGCACGCCCTTCTGCAAGGGACACGGAGGGGGAAAGCGGTGCTCATTCGAGGGGGGTGGGGTGTGCCCAAAGAGCGTCCACGGGGGGACACTCTACTGTGTGGCCCACGGGGGAGGGAAAAGGTGCGCAGCCCCCGGGTGCACTAAGAGCGCGCGGGGGAGGACTGACTTCTGCGTGCGTCATGGCGGGGGAAAGAGGTGCAGCCATGAGGGGTGTGGGAAGAGCGCCCAAGGCAGCACCGACTTCTGTAAAGCGCATGGCGGCGGGAGGCGGTGCATGTGGGGCCACGTGGGTTGTGAGCATGGGGCAGGGGATGTGCCTTGTGGTGCCTTTGCAAGGGGCCGAACAGGGCTCTGTGTATCCCATGGGGCACTTGTGCAGGACAGGAGGGTTCACGGTGGGGCGACTGTGGGAGCTGGCTCTCAGGGTTCTAAGGCCGATGGGAATTGTGTCTTTGTGGGTGAGGGAGCGAGTTTGGGTGGTATTGTGGCTTATGCTGAATTTGGTTCCGAGCAGACGGCTGGTCTCCCTGTTGGAAGCAACAGTGTGTCGACGGGTAAGGTACCGGAGGGAAGGGTGCATGGAGGGAATCTGATGGCGATGATTACTGGGAATCATGGTTTCGGCTTTAGTGGTTCCAACAAAGGCATAGAAGGCCCATCTGGGCCTGGGGAGTCTGTAATGACGCATCGGACCTGGATGTGATGTGAAACGGATAATCCTTGGTGCTTTTTGGAGTTTACCCAGGAGTGCTGTGTTATTAGTTGTGTATTTTTTATTATTATTGTTTGAATTTTGAGTCTGTGTCTTCTTGTGCTATAAGTGAGTCAGAATATAAGATGCCTATGATTTGTTTGGTACAGTCGTAACATATGCGCGTGTGGCCCAATCAGGGGTGGTTTGAAATGCTTCTGTGTGATCAGTTTTTCATGTAAATATTTGTGTTTGTTTCTGTTGATTTATGTGGACAGTGTTGGAATTGAGACTGATGTTTCAGTTGTAAAAGAAATAAATGTTCACCGACGCTTTTGTTGTTGTTTTCGTTGTTGTTGTTGTGTACCTCTCTGTTCGATTGTGGTCGTGTCAAATTGTCTACAGACTACAGTCCAAAATGAAGTAATACAAGACGTTTTGTTCGTCTCTCGTCCTGTGGCAACATCTGAATGAATGAATCGATTGGTTATGGGAAACAAGAGAAACTAAACAATGAACAGAGCCACTCATTTTTGAATTTAATTTATGAAATGTCACATTTAGCCCATTCATGCCATCCAAGCAGCAAGGCGTAAAAGCCTCGAGGAACGAATTACCCGCGCTCTCTAGGGTCCGTATTCTGTGAACGTATCACTGTGCTATGGTCTTCTAGTGATGGCCAAGAACACAGCCTTCTAACTGCTGTCTGGTCGTCTCATGATAGATAATCCTCCTCGAACTGTGGTCGGGACAGAGAGTGGGTATTGTGTTCAACAATCTGACTCGGGAGATCACTAAAAATTATGGATGAATAGTGTCTTGTGTCTTGGATGAAATAATAGGCTCGTGTCGGAAGTCATCCATGACAGTCTTCATAAACACTGCATATTCTGATCCTTCATCTTTCAGGTACTTCACAACACATTCTGAAAATGTAGTCCCACATTTTATTTATTGAAAGTAAAACTCAATTGCTTCTTAGTTTTTTTTACTAGACTAAAATTAATATTGAATATCTTATCACCATCGAGTGCATCGGCTAAAAAAATTCAAATATGTAGGATGAAAAATCAATATTTGTAAAAAATAAATAAATATAATATTATAGTTAAAACTTAAATTTGTTTTAATGTTTATCTTGACCAAAATATTACCAAAATGAATCATAAAAAAATCAATTTGTAGTTTATTACAATGAATATCAATGAAGTTATTGCAGAGGTTAAAAAAAATATTCAAAAAAAGAATATGTTTGATTATATCCGATTTGATGTTATTAGGAAACATATATATACAAACAAGTAGTGCATACATTTAAAAAGTTTTCAAATAATGTATACGTTACGTTATATGTTCTCCTCATTTTTTTTAGTAAATTTTATTCTGCATATATGTTCTGGATCCACACATGAGCTTTTCCAAATAAAAAGCGTTTGTAGTCCAACGGTTAGGATAATTGCCTTCCACCAATAGACCCGGGTTCGACTCCCGGCAAACGCATGAATATTTTTTAAATTTTTTTTCTTTGCTGATATTACATTAATGTCTTAAATTTCAACTTTATTTCCCAAATCGTTTTGACTTCAGTCATAAACGTAAATCCAACTCAATACCCAAAAATGGGTAATTACAGTAGCCGATATCCGTCCACCCCCGCCGTCCCTACCCCGCCGCCCCCTCAGCCCAACGCACCCGCCGATGCTCCCCCTCCTCCCCTCATCCTCGGCCGCCCCACGTCCGATGTCCGCTCCGCCTACGTTTTCGGCAGGGAGCTCGGCCGCGGCCAGTTCGGCGTCACCCACCTAGCCACTCACCGCGCCACGCGCCGGGCGTTCGCGTGCAAGTCCATCGCCAAGCGGAAGCTTCTCAACCCCGAAGACGCGGAGGACGTCCGCCGCGAGGTGCAGATCATGCATCACCTGACGGGCCACCGGAACATCGTGGAGCTGAGGGAGGTCTTCGAGGACCGCCACTACGTGCACTTGGTGATGGATTTGTGCGCGGGAGGCGAGTTGTTCGACCGGATAATCGCGAAGGGGCACTACTCGGAGCGGGCGGCGGCTGGGCTGTGCCGGCAGATTGTGACCGTGGTCCATGCCTGTCACTCCTTGGGGGTTATGCACAGGGATTTGAAGCCGGAAAATTTCCTGTTTTCCACCTCCGATGAGGATTCACCGCTCAAGGCTACTGATTTTGGGCTGTCTACGTTTTTCAAACCCGGTGAGAAGGCTTTGAGGTTTTGAATTAGTTATTTTTATTGATTTTGTGGGATCAGTTGAAAGGGGGAAATTATCGAAATTTGGGAGGTTCAAGGCTGAAAATGAAGAAATTCTGAACAGCGGCGCATAAATTACCTTAAATTCTTGCGATTTGGGGGATTATGGTGAGATTTGGGGGATTATGGTGAGGAATTGGATAACATATAATTAGCTGTTTTCATTGTTTATATACTTGAAAAGGGGGAGAAATAAAACTTAACTACTAATTTGTTGAATGTGCAAGAAGTCTCGGTTGATACAAAGCAGGAGCAATTTTAATTAGAACTTTGGCTGGGTGCTCATCCATGTATGTTGGTTTCAGTGTGCGATGAGAACGACCATCGATTGTTAGTCTAGATTACTTTAAAATAGTAAAAGTTAGTACGAGATCATGAAATTTCTATGAATGCAAAAATAATGTACTCGACCTACCAGACATGCTTAGGAGACTCATTGTATTTGTGCCTTTCTGCTATTGGCCTTCAGAGCATACAAAAAGGGAGAGGGCAAAGTTATAGGTCTGTTTGGTTACTTTGGCATGGCTGATGTTGAATTGCAGGTGATGTATTCAAGGATATTGTCGGCAGTGCATACTATGTGGCTCCTGAAGTTTTACGCCGAAATTATGGTGCCGAAGCCGATATTTGGAGTGCTGGCGTGATTCTTTATATCCTGCTAAGTGGTGTTCCGCCCTTCTCGGGAGGTGAGGTGAAAGAATATAGGAAATGACACTACCTCTTAGTGTATTCTGCACAGTTTATGTAAATCAATAAAATTCTGCTCTTTGAATTAACAATAACAAAAGGTATACATGACAATGACTGTGAGGTGCCTGGTTAATGAATAAGAGGTGATTCGTTTAGTGAACTCATTGTTGACCCAACTATGATAAACATGAAGTATTTTTTTTTTTTTTTTTTTTTTTTTT